TCTGTGAAACAATCAGGTTCCTCTGGCTCCTCCTAGTGCTCCTAATGGGATTTGCAATAATCCACCAGGCCTGAACGAAAACAACCAATCAGAGCCAAGAAAGATAGTTGATTGTTGAGTTTTCCAAGCGCATCAAATACATGTGGTATGTGCTTTTCATGTTGGAAATCTGGGAATGAGATTCAACAATCAACTATCCTCAAGCCAACTTGTCTTCATATCTTTCTGGTTGTGTGTGTGACCCTGGAAAAATAGCTGTTACTTTAGCAGCAGCTAATGGGGATCCAAGAATTAAGAATAAGAATAGAAAACATTATCCCTGCTAGACATCAGCATGTTAGCATTGTCAATGCACATTAACATGCTTATGTTAGCATTTAGTTTAGTGTGTCTAGCCTCACAGGCTTGTTATACAGTCAATTTCTCCTCCAGAAAGCTGTTGAAGACGATTGCTCCAGATCTCCAGCAGAGACTCCTCACACAGACTGCTGTGGTCGAGGAACAGATCAACAGTCAGCCTGGCTACTGTGGTATGTGCTTTTCATTGTGCAGTACAGGTGATCAGATGATGATCAGTGTCTATGTTCACACGTAAGAAGCCCCCTCAGCAAAAGCTAATGATGATATTGTCACCTTCTTAACAATCTGGCCATCCCATTACTGTGATGTGTATCTAGTAAGTAGTATTTTTTCCTTTTTTGTGAACAGCTGATGAACACATTTACAGAGATGATCAATGATACATTGGAATCTCCAGGAAGCTCATGTATTTGCGGATAGATAGTGTTTGAATGTGTGTTCCCTAGGAGGATTCTCTGATACCTACGCTGCTCTGTGTGATTTCAATGAGATGCCATTTAGAGAGGAGATTCAGTGGGTAAGTTTCACTTCTGTAATGCAACATGAAACACTTTTTTTTGCCATAAATTACTTGAACCCGTTCAGAAGCCAATTACAGTTATGTTTCAAACACACAAAAAACATTGTAAATTGGTGAATTTCTACTCTAAATGTACTGAATGTATTTTTTTCTGTCCATTCCAATGGACATATTAATGAGCAAAGTGATACACCTTGCAAAAATATTTGGGGACAAGAACACTTGGGGTCATGAAGCCTTCTTGATTTTAAGAAGTGTAAGAAAACTTTAAAAATATACACAGTAGGTCTATATCTCAGCATTTAGTTCATTTCTATGAAGAAGACTGGATGAAATTGTTGTTCAAAGTTAAGATTTTTATTTAAGATCTAAACTTATTCAGAGAGCTTTCACTCTGTGATAAACAGCCTCGTCCTGTATTAGAAAAGTTAAAACAACCAAAGGGGCTGATAGAACAATGAGGACAAATCACATGCCTATTAAGAATTTTAAAAACACATAATACAGACAGAGAATTGTATAAAAAGTCATCTCTGATCAATATTCACAGGAAATAATCTGCTTAAGATTCATCCAAATCTCTGGTTTTACACAAACTT